AACCACGACAGAGTCCATTGGAGATAAAATTATGAAGACATTGTCTTCAATGATGACACTGACATTATTTTTTTCCCCCATTGGAGATGCTCTAACACTTTGCCCAGTATTTTACTATAAAACTTCGATGCAAATACCACTACAAAAGAATTGTTATATTCCAACAGAAAATCCTATGGTAATATATTCTAATGGATATTCCCAACGGTATAGTTTCCGTTAGAATGATTCCAACGAAAATATTCCGTTGGAATGTATTTTTCATTGGAATTTTAGATGGAATTTGATGATTCCAATGGCTATATTTCCAACGGCTTTTTACCGTAGGAATTTCCGTTGGAATATGCAATTTCCGTTGGAATTTTTATTTCCACCTCCGTTGGAAAATCTACCGTTGGAATCGTCAAAATCAAACGGAAATTCCAATAGAAAACTCATTCCAACGGAATATTTTTGTTGGAATTTCCGTTGGAATCCGTTGAAAAAATTCCAACGAAAATAATAGTATTAAAATATCCATTGGAATTCTATTGAAATATATTTTTGTTGGAATTTCACCATTTTATTGTAGTGTACGGTGTTAGATTTTCTATTATTTTATCGATATTACCACCACTACAAAAAAATTGTTAAACGGAAAATCCTATAGTAATATATTTCAACAGATATTCCAATGGTATAGCTTCAGTTGGAATGATTCCAACGGAAATTCCAACGAAAATATTTCGTTGGAATGTATTTTTTATACGGCTTTTCACCGTTGAAATATGCAATTTCCGTTTGAATTTCTATTTCCACCACCGTTGGAATCGTCAAAATTCAACGAAAATTTCAATTGAAAACCCATTTCAACGGAATATTTTTATTCGAATTTCCGTTGAAATTATTCCAACGAAAATAATAGCATTGACATATCCATTAGAATAGTCGTTGGAATTCTATATATTGAAATATATTTCCGTTGCAATTTATCATTTTCTTGTAATGCACTCTGTGCAATATGATATTTTAAACATTGATTTTCTTTTCCATAAAGTGAATATAACTACAATATTCAAATAAATATAAAACATTGCTCTAGTGACCAATGTTTCACATTTCATCTTATCATTATTACTAGGCTATCATAACCAAACCAACACAGACATGATTGAAAAGTTTAATGATAGAGATAAAATGACACAACTCAAAGCTCAAAATGAGAAAAAGAAAATATATATAAAAATTTTGTATTATATATATATAATTAAATATAAAATTTATATCTATAATTACAGAAATTTTGTATTCTCAGTGTGTTTTTTGTTTNATGAAGGAGGCGTGGTGCACTCCAAGAAGTTGGAAGAAATACATTTCACGCACACAAGAAAAGTGTGAATTTATTTAATAGTCCACCTTTTTTCGATTCTTCTTTTGACTTTCTCCTAATTATGTGTTTTAGCATTTTAACTGAGTTTTCCAACTTTTTTATTCTGAAGATGTGAAAACGAATATTAATTGATATTTAATATAGAGAAAGAAAGTAAAATTAAATATTATTAAAAACAACCGAAATTTTATTTTTGAAGATTAATTATATTTTATTTCAAATTGTACTCACGGTTATTATTATTAAAATAATAATTAATAAAAAAATTATGAAGCATAATAAACATTTTAAGTCAAAAAAACTAATGATTGTATTTTATATGGTAAATGTGAACTCAAATTTGAAATAATTATATTAAAATTTAATAAGGAAAAATATTAGGATCTAGTCCATAAAAATATGTGGAAAAAGGTAACAAAGATAAAATACGAGCTTGTTTTATAGCAATAGTAATTAATCGTTGTTGTTTCAAGGTCAATCTATTCACCCGCCTAGATAATATTTTTCCTTGTTGACTAATAAATCGACTAATTAAACTCAGGTTTCTATAATCAATTCGATCCCCAGGTTTAATCTGGGGCAAACGCCTACGAAAAGATCGTTTTTTTTTACGAAAAAGTCGCTTAGATTTATGAAAAATTTTCTAGCTCTAAGAATTTTCAAAAGAAAAATAAAACCACTTTTAAAACCAATATTATTTCGATTAAGAAAAATAGTGTGTAAGATTTTGATTATTTAAGGTTTGTAATTGGACAGATGTTAAATGAAATTTTAAAAGATGTATCAACTAAAAATATAAAAAGAAGGTTTGGGACTGTGGGCTTGCTTGGATGTAGATTTGCTGAATTTTTATNGTTGGTTGTATTAAATTTTGAGTGAGATTTTGAGTTTGCATTAAAATGATATTTAAAATAAAATAACTAAAGTTAATTAGATGAAAACGTAGAAGAGGAATGGTTGTGTGTGATAAATAGTTAAAATTATGTGAGTGAATGATAAATGACTCAGAGTTAATGTAATGTGTAAAAATCATTGACGATATTATTTAATTATGTTGATTATATTGATGTTAGTGAGTTGAGTTAATAGACTTGAATTAAGATTAAAAACATTTTTCATATATCTATATCCAAACATATATAAATATGCTCTTACATTCTGACTGTCATATTCTTTAGTACAGTTCTATCATATATATGTACTTACGGACTATTAAATTAATGCAAATGAAAAAAAAAATTCCCACTAATTTTTCTAGTTAATTAGAGTAAAAACGTTATGTTTTATATGAATTAAATATAATAATATTATATTAACTATTCTGTCGTATAATAGGTATTACAAAAAACAATTAATTATTATTCACACGACAAGTTGTATAGAAGGTGAATTAATTATTAATTTTATTCTAAAATTATATTTCATCTCCAAAGGCATAGCCTTTTAACCTCATATTAATCTCATTAAAAATATTGATATAGCCCCATAAGGATAACCCGGTCTAGAGGCTCCCTACTCGACCGGTGAACCACTCGAACAACTCGCATGTCGACATGACTCTGTCGACATTCTCACATCGACTTCCCTAAAGTCGATTCTACCAAGAGCAACCGAGAAGAGGCAGAAATTGGTCTAGTCGACTCTCCCAAGTCGACCTTAGTCTATCGACTATCACTAGTCGACATCAATGGAAGAAGAACAGCAAGAGCATAACGCCCAAGCATCCCGATATCCTAAGTCGACTCTCAGCAGTCGACTCAACTAAGATGATCCTCTGAAGACGACTTCACCTCAGAGAGTTATCCAAGCGTAGCCTCCGAATCCGCACATATCCACAAGTCGACCTCCTAGCTCTCGAAGTCGACCCCGCACACCTCAAATAATAAAGATGTGACGACGACTCATCACACTTGCAGCATACTTGAAGTTCCACATATTACAAAGGATAAGAAGGAATCTTGTGATGACTCAGCAGCAAGGGGAGGCGAATCGACCGGGGCATTTTGGACCTTCTAGGTCCACCGACTTGGGCATTTTAGGTACTTCAAGTAAGTATTCACTCCTATATAAAGGAGGTGAGGTAACCTCAAACCCTAACTCTCATTCATTCCCATTCTCCCACACAACTGCTGCGCAACATCTCTTCATCACTCTCATACTGACTTGAGCGTCGGAGGCTCTACGTCGGAAACACCTCCGGCGTTGAGTTTTTGCAGGTATCCCGTGGTCTAGCAACGATTTGGAAGCAGTTCAAGCAGATCTGAGCTCACATCCATCGGTTTACTCCAAATCTGGAAGTAGACCCATGAAATATATATATATATATATATATTTTCATCTCATTAAAAGATTTTTTTTAAGAAACAAGCTAATTAATTTTAAAGGCATAGCCAAACCCTTTAAAGAGTTTCTATTATTATTATTATTATTAATTCATTATTTTTCTAACTAACTAGTCGGTAATGATTCATCAAAATTATAAATATTATATTGTTCGGTACATTTCATGTCATGAATATAATGATTTGTGTGTAATTAAAAAAATTATATTTATGCTATTATCTACTAATGATCAAATTTATAAAACTTGATAGATAAATTATTTATTGTATAAATTTAATACTATATATACATATAATTTATAACATTTTATAATTTTTTTTTCTTTTTTATTTTTTCGTATAACTTTCTATTTTAAAAAATTAAACACATTTAATTAATGTTTCAATTTAATGGCAATTTCACGAAATTGAATATAAATGAAATTAATATATTTAATTAATGTTTCAATTTAATGGCAATTTCACGAAATTGAATATAAATGAAATTAATATAGCCAGATGCTTTATTATTATTATTTTTTTTTTGTAAGGGAAAATAAATTTTTCCCACTACATTATAAAGATATATTAAGTTTTTCACACCACTAGTTAATAATTTATTTTTTTCACTCAAAAAAGTGTAAATATTATGCAAATAAACTGTTTAACTGCTGCATATCGACTGCATAACAGTCAAATATTTATCGCACAATGTTTTAAGTAGCGTCGTATAGTGCTCAATAGTGCAATTTTGCTCCCAAATGCGATGAAGCAATTACTATTTCGCATTTTTTCCGAAATACTTATGCAAATATTTTACGTTTTTTACGCTATTTTCACGCAACAGTAACAAAAGATCAAAATAAAAAAAAAAATTATTATTATTATTTTTTTTTTACGAAATGATAGATTTCATAGGGGCAAACAAATTAGCTTCATGGAGGTGGTGTCGGGCCTAGCTTCACGGAAGTGGTGGCCGGCGAAGGAGATGCACAGTGGGGACAATTTTCAGAATTTGGGATTATCGCTGAGAGAGAGAGAGAGAAAGTGAACTGTATTTTTTTTGTCAATTTTTTATGATTTTCAACCAAAATAAATGAATAATAATACCAATATAGTATATATATGGGGAGTGAATTGAAAAGAGAAATTAGGAATAGAGAGTGCAGCATTAGGGATTTTACAGGAATTTACCGTTGATTAAATAAGAGAAAATAAAAATTAAGAAAACAGAAATTGGAACAAACCCCTGGAGGCCGCATTTATATGCAAAGCACCGACATCGCCTCCATCATCAACAACAACCCCACATGAAACTCCCCAAATCCTTCCTCAAACCCCTACGCGCCACCAGGAACGGCTTCTTCCGCCGCCGCCGCAGCCGCAGCGGCTCCATCCGCGGCGGCGCCTCCTTCTCCGGTCCACCCGCCGACAACCCCGAGCCGTCCTCCCCCAAGGTGACCTGCATCGGGCAGGTGAGGGTGAAATCGAAGAGGAGGGGTAGCCACAGCCGCCGGAGCGTCTCCCAGCGGCGGACGGGGGAGGCGAGCTTCCGGAGGACGGCGGCGGAGCAGCTGCAGGAGGAGCGCAAGAGCCGGAGGTGGGTCCACCTGCGCGCCTTCGGATCGGAGCTCGCCTGCCTGCTGTTCCCCTGCGCCGGCGGCGGCTGCCGTCGTCATAAATGTCGAATCTTTAAGAGTGGTTGTTGCTGTAATGACGGTGATTGTAATGGTGGGGAAGAAATTGGGGGATGTGGGGTTTTTATGAGGAGGTGTCTGGTGTGCGGAGGGCGGCGGGGGGAGATTTTTGCGGCGGCCGGCGGCGGAGAGGCGGCGGCGGAGGAGGAGGAGGGAAAATCGGGAAGGCGGCACGTGTTTGATGATATTGAGGTTAGGAATGGGAGGATTGAGGTTAAAGGGCGGAGTTTGGAGGTTGAAGAAGAAGATGAAAGATGGAGAACTGGCATCTGTGTACCTCCCAAGAATGCGCTTTTGCTTATGAGGTGTCGATCAGATCCGACAAAAATGGCGGCGCTTGTCAATAGGTACTCTAATTTGGAGTATAGAAATCGCGATGATATTGAAGAAGATGAAGATGATGATGAAGATGAAGCTGAAGAGAATAGTTCTTGGGAAGGAGGAGATTTGGTGTTTGAGAAAGTTGTGTTTGAGGATAAAGGTGAAGCCTTTGAGCAATGTACTAAGGTTTCGAGTAAGATCGATGAAGAAGAAGAGATCCGAAATGAAGTGAGACACGAGTTGGAAAGTAATTTTGAGGAGAAATTCAAATTATTGAATGTTGGTGGGGAACAAGAAGAAGAAATTAAGGCCACCGATGAACAAGAAGAAGAAATTGATGCTAAAGATGAAGAATCAGAAGAGACCGAGTCGAATATGTCCTCATTTGAAGCTCTACTAGACCAAGAAAACTCGGACAGCTACCTAGAAAAGGTAGAAGAGAACGAAGATAATGAAGAATACGAAGACATTGGAAGCCGGAAAATTCAAGAACCTGGAAAAAGCAATGAGCTTGAGAACAATAGAGAAGAAGAAGATGAAGAGCAGAGCAAGCAGGTGCTGCCCGATTGCTTGCTGTTGATGATGTGCGAACCCAAGCTGTCAATGGAGGTCTGCAAGGAAACCTGGGTCCGGGGCGCCGACTTTGTCAGGAGGTCGCCCAAAGCCGCCGCCGCCGCCGGCGGCGGCTGCGAACGCCATCAGGACAGGGGCAGGCAGCCCGCCGGCGCCGACCCGAAGCCTAGGAAGCAGATCCCGGCCCCGCCGTCGGGGAGGAGCGACGGCACCCGCCGTCAGATGCTCCAGCCGGCGCGGTCGTCGTGCTCGCTGCCGGCGGCGACGATGGGACCGCTCGCGTTGACGAGATGCAAGTCGGAGCCGAGGAGGACGGCGGCGGACAAGCTGGCGCACGAGACGGCACCGTGGAAGGACGGCGGCGGCGGGGTGAAGATGGAGGTGCACGGCCCGGCTGGAGTCGGGTCCTGACTCCTGAGGGCGGGGCTCCGGGTCGGGTTGTGAAATAAATTTCAATCGTTTGATTGCACGTGGGTGACAGGTGTCGGTCACAGTAATTTTGTTCCCCAGCTATGTTTATCCTACCTGTAAATATATATATATATATATATTTCGATACATTGAGAATCCCATGTTTTGTCTGCAACGGGTGTTTGTATCTGCTGTTGTTTTGTGCAGTAATAAATTTGCGGGTTCATCTCACCTCAATGCCCAGAAGGACTAAAATGTGGGCAATGCTATAAAAAAGATGTGATGTAAGTACGTTTGTTTAGACTTTTGTATCTTAACAAAAATAATTTTCGAAATTTATTTACATTGAGAACAAAAAATTATTACTGGTACAACATTCGTGTATTACACGGACATTTGTTAAATTAATATAAATATTTTTTATTAATATTAATAGGTAATTTAATTTTTATTATAAATATTAATATAATTATTTATTTATTTTTTATATAAATCGTAAATGTCAAATCGAATGTCATCAAGACATGGTTAACTTGATACATTTTATTGAGAATAAATGTTTTTTTTAACTTGTAAATATATTTATAATATAAGTATGTAATTTTTTTATAATTATAAAATAAAGACAGAAAAAAAGAAGATTGAAGAAAAAAATTATGTGTTATAAATCACGTAAAGAATAGAAATAATATTAAAATATAACTAATTTTCTTCTTGAAAAGAATAAAAAATATTTATTATATTTATGAATATTTTAGGTTTAGTTATTTTTAGAGTGGAAGTAAATTAATCAATCCAAGTTAAGTAAGGAAGCATGAGTAACTGAGTTATTAAAAAGATAAATGGAGATCTCGCAGTTGAGTTTATCTATTCATACTTGGATATGAGCTAAATAAACTATTGAAAAGTTTTGGTGAATTATTTCATATATTTTGTTTGAATTTTGTCTCATTATAAGCCAATAATTCCGTCATTGATTGCCCCGATATAACTGTATTTCGAGACTCGTTGTATTATTTAAAAATCAAACTAAAAGAATATTTTAATTCTCCATAAAATTTGGCGAGATTGACGTAACGATCTAACATCAGGGATCAATCTTTCTCAATATATAAACAATAATGGATATTTTTATTATAAAATATTATTTTTCTGATCACGACTTATATTAAAAAGTCACACTTTTTAATAAAAATATACATATTTGGGCCCGTCGGCCCGAGACCCCATATTTTCGGAAAATCAACAAGGCAAGATCCAATTTTTTATATCAACATGCATATTTTTAAAAAAACAAGTTCAAATAAAGCAATTCGTTCAAATAAAACAATTCAACATTTTTTGGAAGCCGAATACAGTTTCTATTAGGTTCCACATATATATGTTGCATGAATTATATGCACGTGACAGAAAGAATATCAGGGAATAATCAACCATATATGAATTTGTTTTGTTTTTTAACAACAATTGCATTTCAATAAAATTTTCCAATAGAACCAAATAGAAATCTCATAAACAAATTAATTACCAGTCAATCTGGTATATATAGGATCCTTTTGCCATTGAGATTTGACAAAAAATGTAAAAAGGATAATTGTGTTGTTCATAGTAATCTTTAGAATTGATGACAACTCATATCTTCAAAGTTAAGATATATCCACCAAATGAATATGCATATATAAGAAATTGAATTGGCCAAACGTTCACTTGCAAATATAATAATCTTCATACATGATGAAGCCATCACCATCTCCTAATTAATAAAAAGAATAATTAATGGAAGGAAATTAAATGATTAGATGAACTTAGTTCACTTAATTTAGGCCCTTTTTAATTTTTCGAATTGAACAAAGACCAATTTACATGCATGGTAGAAAAAATGTGGCTCTCTCCTTAATTTTCTTCAAGATAGATCAAATTAGTTTAATCTTTTCCCTTACACCTTTATGTATAGATAATGGATTTTTTAAAAAGGCAGCATATTTCATGAACTCCATTCATCAACTTATTATTTCAATAAACTCATATATCATGTTGGCTTTGGACTTATCAAGATCATATTTTGATAAACATAAGAGGCATTCAATTTTACTTTATTTAGATTCATAGCGGAACTCTCATTACACATTTTCCAGTATATGTACAAATACACACTTTTATTTCTCGTTTAGCATAATTGGAAAATATTCAATTTCAATAACGAAATGACATTTTTTCTCATACTATTGGAGTCCTACTACATTATCACCTCATATTTGTTTTATATATTGTAGCCACTTGCTGCAACAAGTGGCAAGACTGGGAAATTAAAATGGCTTGGCAAGCGTGTATTTGCAAAAATGTGCTTAGTTACTATTACTTGTGTTCACAATAAAAGATGTTTGATATTGGACTCAACAGACGTCATTTGTTGTTGCTTTGGGTAATAAAAGATAGTCCGGCTATGTTTAATGAAATGAGCCACTGGTGAGTTCGGTTGAGTCGAGTTTGACTCGGATCGAGCTCAATTTATTAACATTGATAAACGTGTTACGTTTGAGTTTAATTTTTGACTCATTTAGTTAACAAGTCCAGCCAAAGACTCAAACTTGACTCAGTTCATTTACACGCATAATTGACATCTATCTATATATAAAAAGGTTGTTGGTTAAATATTTTTTGGAAACTTTTGACCAAATAAATAATACCTTTGACATTCTATTTATAGAAAGTTTGAAAACAATAATGGTTTAGTTTTTTTCTTCTTTTTTTTTTTATTATGGAAAATCACATTTAAATTCAAAATTAAAGGTGTAGAGATAATATTTGAACAATAATATGTGGATAACTCATGATGGAATAGGTGGATAATTAACTACTAATCTAAAAAGATTTTGATAAATCTTCACCAAACACTTATGTATTAATATCGCAACCCAAGGAAAAAAAAAGGCATAAGTGAGTCCATTTATTTTTTTTATACTAAAATAAAGAAATATTACCAAATATAATTTTTGTTTAATTTGATGGATAATATCAAACCATTCCAAATTTTAATAATGTACGCGAATATCATTTCAAATATTTAGATAATATCATTCTAACGCTCCAATCATCTAATATCGAGATATATTATCGTATAGTTCAAATTTGGGTTTCAAATTTAAAAGTCAAATAAATAATTATTTATAACTTACGTGTCAATATTAACTTAGGCATAAATAAGTCAATTAATTATAGTTTAATAAATTACTCAACAACTTAAATTTTTTATTTTGATAGTATATACAAAATTAAATTCATTTTAATTAATGAACACTAAGTTTTATAATTGTACTTATTATTCACATAGATTTTTAAATATATGATAAAATTTTACAAAAAGAATTATTTTATGGAATCACTTTGTAGTCCAATCGAATTTTTGAATAAATATTTTAAAATGACACTTATTTTGAAATAAATATAATGTAATTTATTATCGGTTACGTGAACCATACGGGTTGTATACTAATTAAATTGACATGTTTTATGTAATTTTGCACGATATAAGATTCATATATCATTTTCAATAAATTAATATAGATAAATGTATTACATATTGATTTAGTATTTTTAATTTATAAATATTATCATTTTTAATTTATAAATCTTTGGAAGCCTGAAAAAAGCATTGTGGAAAAAGCTCTGGCTGAATGGGAAAAAAATTCTTCTATCAATTATGCTAATGGCTTTAGTGATTTTGCACTGCCTTTTGCCAGGTTACCATAAAAAAATCTTTATGCTATTATTAGTGATTTTACCTAACGAGTTTCAAGATGTCTTCTAACCATCATTATATGTAGATTAATCTTTTATTAATTAATTTAACTGACATGTGTTAAAATTTATGAACCATAAAAAAATATTTATGCTATTATTAGTAGAACATAATTAAATATATCATTAAAACCAAAATAATTTCCATCTCGATTCCAAATCTCCTTCACCAAACTGTACCTAAATTCGATGAAATACTATGTGCTCTGGCCCTGCCAGCTAACCATCAGCACTCCTGGCGCACGTTAGACGCCACCGCCCTAGCCCAGAACTTAATCTGCGCCTTCACATCCTCCGCCGGCCGCTTCCCGCCCCACCTCGGCACCGGCGGCGGAGAATAGCTCTGTGCGCCCCAACTCGGCACCGGCGGCGCAGAATAGCTCTGTGCGCCCCAAGACTCCGATAGATACGGCCTTCGAGCCCTAGCGCTCTTCCCTTCATCCTCTTTGATAATATCCCTTTTCTCTTGCAAGGCCGGGATCATGCTTATTACCTTCGGGCTCAGCTCCTTGTCGTCGAAATCGAAACCCAAATCCTTAAACCCCTGCACCTCGTACTCCAGATCGATTAAGCTTTTATGTGATTTCAGCTGATTAATGAGACGTTGGGGCCTGATTGTCTCCTCGGAGCCCTCAATTTTACCGCTCTCCAGCTCAGGTACTCTTCTTGATCTCTGCCTTGTTATGCTCGGACTTGGTGTTAAACTCTGCAAAACACAGTAATTGGGAGTGAAAATTGGTGATTTCTCGAGTTTATTTTTGGTTTGTCGCCAGGTGTTTGATAAAATGCGTGAAAGAGTTTTTCCTTTTTTACCTTATTAGTAGAATGTGTCCTGGGAGGCAGAGTATCCGAGTTCTTCATAGAAGCTTGCCTGATCAATTTCCCCATTGAGAACTCAACCTCCTCATCTTGAAACTCCTCAGGCTCGAGGCTAATCGGTAGGGACGGGGCCCGGTTCAGACCACCCCTCGACGATTTTCTATTTTTGTTTGATCTTTTGCTCCTCTGAGGGTCACTTTTCTGATCCTTTCTTTCCAGGGTAGATGGGACTGAAGGTGCCTTGATCAAACTCGGCCGCTCGATTTTGCGTTCGTTGATGGATAATTTCTCGATCGATCGGTAAGTCTCCTCGTAAGATTTCCCGGGCGAGTTTTCGTCTATGGCGAAGTCTGAGGAAGTGCAAGGCTCTGAAAGGCTTCTGAACATTCTTGATTTACGATGAAGCGAGTTGCCGAAAAACCAGCAATCTTCGAGTAATTCACTCGGCTCGACTCTATTGGTATCGTGATCCATGATTGGATTGAATTGA